ACTAAAGAAATAATGGCTCCATTATGCTCACTATGACAACTGACTTTTTAATTTCTGTGATGTATGCAAGAGGAGGAGCTCTTACATTCACTCCCACTTTTGGGGGAAGGGCTGGGGTATTCCTACAGTTGTGATGCTCAATACAGTAGGGAGAATAACCTCATTTTTTCTTCCTCTTTATCCCCAAAAGTAAGGGTGTGATCTGACAGGGAAATAGCTCATATTTTGAACCTCTTGTTTAAAACCAGAATAAATAAAATATGGCTACTGAAAGAGAATTAAACCAAAACAGTGGTAAAATATCATTTATTTTTTAAAAATAAAGAACTGTACCTTTCAACTGCTATCAGAAGATCTGTAACATGGAGACCAACCTAACTTAATGAGGGACAAATCTCCATTGAATGGGAATATAGAATAGTGAGACTATTATGCTTAGAAACAACTAGCAAGTGAAGCTGTTATACCAAGAAACTTGTGTTCTCCGTGTAACCAATCCAAGTCAACAGCAGGTATGCAGCATCCTGGACAAAATGCAGAAGCTGAACACTTTCCCAAAGCAGTTCCACACAGATCACATTACAGTAATACAAACAGGATGCAAGTAAAGCAAGCATTATTATAGCCAACTCAGCACCTTCGGGAACTGATGCAGCCGGCACCTGAGGTATAATGACAGAATTGTATATCCAGCCATTGTCAAAAGCTAGGCACAGAGGATCAGGGTTGAATCCAGAAATGCACCCAGATGCAAAAATGAGTCTGTAGAAATAACATTCATTACATGTTGAATCCCTATTCTTTGCTCTCATCCAGTCCATTACTGATATCAGACAGAGCTAAGAACGATGACAATTTCTTTAGATTTGGACTGAAAGGAGAAATACAGTTGGGTATCATCAGCACACCTCTGGCATCAAACTCCTAAACCCTGGATAATTACTCATAGAGAGACAATTTTGAGGCACTGCATAGGCAAAAGCTGCAGTGCTGGACAAGAACACTTCAACATCACATTCATTTATTTATTTATTTATTTATTTATTTATTTATTTATTTATTTATTTATTTATTTATTTATTTATTTATTTATATGCTGCCCATCTAGACATAGTCTACTCTGGGCGGCTCACAATTTAGAAGACATGACAAAAATAATATGTATTATGTTTACTGCAAAAGGCTTTGTATCGAATCCAGGAATTAAAAAATAAACAGACACACAGAGATCCAAGTAGTATCATGCTCTACCAGTCTTGAGTCATCCACTGAGTTCCTTTGACATGTACTAGGCTCTCATTTCATGCCTTATAATTATCTGAGATTGGCAATGTTTCAATTCCCAACTTATAAATATCAATCACTCTCAAAGCCAAACATCACTGATTTTCCATCTAATGGAGAAAAGCCTTATTTAGCCTACTGATAACCAGCCGTTTTTGGAAAGTTCCAGATACTTATTACAACCCAACCCTATGGATAGTTATTTATCCAGAGGTATGTATAAGAGGATTTTCACTTCAGATAAGCATGAAGCCATAGTAACCTGGACAGATATATTTGCCTCTATACCAAGACCATAAGAAAATTCTAAGCAGATTTAATTCCATAGTACATAAGGCATGTGGGTAACACTGCATGCAGGTTACTGATAACACTCCTCGACTAAGTAACAAAAGCAATATTTGTAAGACACCTTGAAGACTAAAACATTTCATTTGGCATAAAGTGCCCTGCTGTCCTGCACTATAAGCTTATTTCTAACCAAGTGTTAAGCTTTACTCTTTGTTTCTCCTAAAGATAAAAGAGCTTTGATAACCTACATTTAACCCTATTAAAAACAGTAACTTTCCTGTCCTTAAATACAGATCAACTGGAATGGACTATTAAAGTTCATGTAACTATAGCTAGGACTGCATTAGAAATCTGCTCTTTGTAAATACTGATGTTATAAAAAAAACTGGTTGAAATCCAGTTAAGTAGCAACTAGAGTAGACTGATGGAATAAGCATGAATTCAGTGAATCAACTCCTCTGTAAGTTCCACTCATTCAACTGGCCTATTCTATTTTTGACTTACTACTTCATTTTACCCACTGTGTTTCACTCCATCTCTTCCACTCTGCTAATGATATACTATATCGGGAATGGAGTGACTAGAGGGATCATGCTACAATGTTTACTTTTGGAGATATAGTTTTGATGATAATATTGTGCTTTAAAACTAATATTTTGAGGTTGTTGTGGTTTTGAGGACATCCCTGTTTCTTAAAACACACAGACATCAATATTAAAACAAAGTCTGTTTTCATTTTTGAACTTGTAGATTTTTAAAAATTTCTGTATAATTATAGAAAACAAGCACTCAACCAGAACAAAACACTGTGGACTCACCAACTTCTCACTAGTTGGATCTGTAAGGAAAGCACACCAACTCACAAAGGAATGGGAGTTGTCATTGAAGCCTTTCTTAAAGAAATCCTGAATACTACACAGTGTTCCAGTGGGTGTACTGCTCCAAGTATTCCTAGAGGAAATATTCTCAGACCAGACATATTCCCCCAAAACCTAGTCTACCTGAAGGAGGGAGAATTAACAAAATACAGTTTCCACCCCACAACTACTCAAAATTCTGCATTTGATATAAGATTTCAGAAGGTAGGAATAGCGAGAGGTAGAACTGCATCATCGGTGATAAAACAATGGTGATTTTAAAAGTTGCAAAAATTAAAACAAAAAAACGGAAATTGTTACCACTAACAGTTTCCATGAAGTAGTTAATATCAAAATCTGTTATCAACCATAACTACACTGGCTAGTGACATAAGAACCACTGCACAAGAAGGGCTATATTTAGAAGCAAATTAGTCTCTTTTTAGGAAGTAGGTACTACACACACTGATTCAAAAACCATTCCCACTTAAAAATGAAAATGGCTATTCAGAATGCCCTTTCTTCAGCTCAATTAATGAAAGCAGTTTAATAGTCAAGCACTGCTCCTTGATTTTTGTCAGCTATAAGCTGTAAACAAGTAATTATGTCTCAGACTACTCAAACTACCAATCACAAACTTAAATGATGAATTGCTTGTAGCAACAGATGCATAACAGCTGTTAGTAGAAATAGCAACACTTTAATAAGGTTGTGCTTTTTCTTCCATGTGGACCACTGTACTTTTAAATGCATTGTAACACCAGATTCTCCTTCTCCTCTCATATAATCTTATTAATGAATGCAATTCACTTCCTCAACTATCATTTTGCTTGCATAGTTGTAAAAAAAAACACAACCAAATATACAGCCATTTTAAGAACCTGTACATATTAACTCAAATAAAAAGCTTGTTTTGTTCTTACCAGATCAGAAAAAATGGCCTCACAATGTTGAAGATGGGATGCCTGCTTAGTCACTCTTTTTAAACAGCTCAAAGACAAATCGCACTAGATTTTGTCATATACAATGTAGCTGACAGCATCTATGTAAAACTTGTTTAAAGCTAACAAGTTAACTCAGGCACTCTACTTTCTTAACATAATGTACAGCTCCTTATATACTATTTTCATTTTTTATACAGCTAGTACCATTTAATGCATTTAACAATTTCCAGATGAGAGTCAAAGGCAGCATCATGCCCAGTGCCAGAGACTTGTTGAACTGACTTTCAAAGGTACCCAACCACTTTCGAACAGAAACCCTCCTCTTCCCTTCCCCCATCTCCAGCATCCGGTTCCAAGCAATGAGTGGATGAGATCACAAAAGAAAGCTCATCTCTAGAGCTGTCATATGGTTCTCAGAAGAGTCAGCTTCCTCTTTTACAATATGCTGGATCTTTTAAAATCGCTCCAAGATTTTACTATCCTTACTGCCAACACATTTCACTTCCGAGAAAGCTACTATGACTGGGCATATATAATTTGCAGAAAATGAACAATTTGCAATGCCTCCTTCTACAAAGGCCTTTATTTCCGTTTTATGTGCACTTTTTGAGAAGCCATATGCATTTCCCCAGGATCCTTTTTAGAAATGGTAACGAATATACAGACACTGATGCTACTGGGCTTGTTTCTGACATGAACGAAAATTAGAAGTAACATAAGCTCAATTAAAAAATAAAATCAACAGCAGGATTCAAAAAAAATCCCTCCTATTTAAAAAAATGGGGACAACCTGAAGACTTGGGCTACTTATTCCAGGCTGCAAGGCAGATTATTTGTAACAAAACACATACACGCCCTTCAATTTGCGGAAGATTAAAAGAAAAACGCACACCCCTACAAGCCACATAACACTGATCGGAAGGAAGTGGACAAAGAAGAATCCACACTGTTGCAAAGGGGAGCGCGAAAGATCCAGAATGGCATGCACAAAGGCAAGAAACGGGCCCCCAAAGCAGCTCAAGCGGGGTGTGTGTGTGTTTAATTTAAGAGAGGCGGATGGACACTGGCGGGCGCTGAAGCCGGGACCATGAACTCAGCAAAAGAGGGAGCGCCCGAGGGGAAGGTTCGTTATCTTGGAAGGGAGGAGAAGGAGTGGACGGTGGGGGTGGGAGGGGAGGAAACGGAGATTTTAGCAGCTCCATCTGTATCCAATCTGGGCCATCTCTGCCCCCACCCACCACCGCCTCATATTCGTGCAGCAGGAGCAGCCGCCTCGGTTCAATCCCAGAGGGACAGGACCGGGAGAAAACCCGAGGAGGAGCCGCCGCGGTGACAGAAGCGCCGGAGAAAAGGAAAACAGCGCTGCCAATCGTCGTCGGCACACCGACCGCGCCACGAATAACGGCGAGGAGGATGAGACTCTCGCCGATCGGGCGCCCCTGAGCCGAGCCTTTCCCCGCTGGAGGACGGGGAGATGGGTCTGAGGGAGGGGAATAATTCCCCCGCTCGCGAATAATACGAAGTCTCCTTTGCACGGCTTCCTCCTTCCCTGGCCCCTTTGGGTGGGTGGGGGGAGAAGACACCACCCCACGGGGGGCACACAGAGACCCACAGCATCACTCACCCCACCTCCTGTGACCCGAAGCGCCGGCTCACTGCCCCACCATCTTCTCCGCAGCGAGGGCGGCGAAAAGGGGTCGTTAGGCGGGCAGGAAGGCCGTTCACGACCTCCCCCCCCCCTCCGTCTCTTTTGCGTCCCGCAGGCACCACGAACCGCTCGAACGTTATTCCCAGATATAGCGGCTAACGGCGCGGCACAAGGAGCAACGACTGCGCAGGCGCCGCTCCAGGGCAGGCAGGCAGGCAGGCAGGGAGAGAGAGAGAGAGAGGAGGAGGAGGATGGGGGGAGGGGAAATGAAAAGAATGGATTTGCGAGCGTTCGGAAAGCGCTTAATGCGCATGCGCGCGGCCGAACAAGCCGGCTGCTAGTACGCAAGCGTTATATTCAACCTAATGAGAAACAGATACATATTAATATATACAGTATTATAAATTCTTCACACAACTGAAAATACATTTAGCGAATTTGTTGGGCATCCCACGGAGGTGAACATTTAGTTGCCTCTCGAGAAAGACTGTTGGCTTGTCTTTCTGAATCCTGCAGTGGTTTGGAGCAGCTAGCTAATAGAAAAACATTCGACTGAAGCAACTTGTCTGGTGCCTCGGGTCAAAATACAAAAATTGGCTAAAACGTTCCCCTCCCCCCCCACTCCAGCGACACTGATGTGTTTTTTACGTTTACGTCGCCGTGGCCCGGAGTTACTACAAATCACAGAAAGAAGTGCGGCATACAGTCAATAGGAATGCGCCAGCGGGCTAGCGCGTTGCATGCCGGGAAACAGAGGAAGCTTTCTTTCCCCAACGTTCACAGCTGCGCGAGGCGAGGGTTGCCCCGCCCACCTACCCGTTGGGGAGGGGAGCCTGTTTCCCCCCCCCCAACGCCGGGTACGTTGTTCATCCCGCTGTTCATCTAAGCGGGACCTTGAAGAGAAAAGACGGGGGTGGGGGGAAGAACCGTTTTTGGTTGCCAGGCAACAAGCATTCTCGGAAGAGGCGTCGGAAGTTCAGTCTGCGCCCCATCCTGATGACTGTAGACGCATCCCATTCCCTTTAACTCTTCCCATCCCGCCTTAGGAGCAGCCGTGGAGACTTTGCTGGGCGGCGGAGAGAACGAGAGCGCCCGCGCCACTGGAAGAAACAGGGGACGTTTTCCCCTCACGGGCTTTCCAATGCAGGCATCCCCAGAGCCGGCGGGGACCGCGGAAAGAGCCGCGGCGTACAGCCCCAGATCCCCCTGGAGCGGGTTGCCACGCCCATTGAGCCCCCGGGGGGAGGCTGGAGGAGAGGCGGACTTGGAGGAGTCTCTGGAGCGTTATCACCAAAGCTTACGAGGTGAGGGAGAAGGAGAGAGCGAGCGAGTAGAAAAGACGGGGCGGGCGGCCGGGCTGGGGGGGAAAGGACAGTTTTCTGCTCGCGGCAGGCCCTTCGCTCCCAGTCCTTCTGGAGCTCGGTCCACCCCGCGGCCAGCGCTGACAGCGTTGCACTTGTGTGTGGGAAACGGCCCTAGGTAAAGCTGGGGCGGTTTTCGGGACTGGCTGGTGTGAAGCGGGGATGGGGGTGGGGGAGAGAGAAGGGCGGCAAGTTCGCGCGGAAGGCAGAAGCGCTCGTCAAGGAGCAGATTTTTGGGACCCGTTCCGGTTGCCGAGCGTCCGGTGTGTTGTTTGTAGCTTCCCGCGTTTCTTCCTCGAGCATCAGCGCTGTGTTTTGTTGATTATCCGAGGAGTGCTGAAGTGTGGGGAACTTGGTTTGCCAAGCTGCTTCCTGATTTCCTGAAGTACAGCAGAAGTCTTGTGTCACCTTGAAGACTGACGCGTTTTGTTGGACATACGCTTTTGTGAGCTGCAGTCTGCTGCAGCAGAAGCATGGGCTTTGGTGTCATCTGGCTACTATTTATCTGCAGAAGAGGGGGTGGCAATGGGAGTGCAAAGGTGCCAGGATACAGTGTGTTGCTTCTTCAGAGGTTAAGTACTGTATATATATTTTCAGATGCCACTCTTAGAGGGCTCCCTTACCAGTTAAACTCTTTCCCTTAAATTTTCATTAGACAAAAGATCATTTAACACTATATATTAGTCCCCCGAACTACACTGAGATGTGGTCACTAAAGAAGGCTGTTAAGATCATAGCTTGCTGGTTTCTTTTGCATTTCCAGTGGTATTTCTCCATAGTCTCCCCTCCCACACATGTTTGGAATATATTTGCCCATTGAAGCTACATTCCTTGCATCTGAAGAAGTGGGCAGCAATCCATGAAAATCTGTGTGAAATAAAACAGGTTAGTAAAAAGTGCCTCCAGATTCTTTGTTATTTGTGCTGTAGCAGACTAACATGGCTACTCTCTACCACCATCCCTTTATATTTTTCCAGTGTTTATGAGGCTCTACTGCCTTCTATTAACAGTGTTTCAGATCCAACCGCTCTAGGCACTCATGTGTGAAACTAGTTTTCTGGACTCATTGCAGTCTGATTTCAGGCCTTGTTTTGGAGAGATGACTTTGGATGTCCTGATGTTCCAGGAGGTTTATTCTGGTACTGTACAAGAAGTTGGGGGGATGTGACCTGACCTGCCAATTCTACTGGACCTCTAATATCTACCAGAACACACTGTTTATTTCAAAGGTCACCTTGTTAATTCTTCAGCAGAAAAAGGCTTGTATCCTCTGAGGTTAGGTAATTGTTACTGGAGGGGAGGTTTTGGCACTGCCCTCCATAGAAAAGCTTACCGGATACCAAAACTGAGGCCTATTATATGCACTTTCTTTTAATTTTTCAAGGCTTTCAAAAGTAATTTTAACAGATTTCAGTATTGGTTATTGTGTTTTTTGGGGGGGCTCTTTGGCCATGTTCTCTGAAGATGCTGGCCACAGAGACTGGTGAAACGTTAAGAAGAACAACCTTCAGAACACGGCCAAAGAGCCCAAAAAACCCACAACAACCATTAGATCCCAGCCATGAAAGCCTTTGCGAATACAGGTTTCAGTATTGTTTATGTAGATGTGTTATTCTTGTACTTTTCATGGAGCCATTGAACTTCTTGACTGTTAGAGCAGTACAACAATAGAATCAATTACTTTGGGAGGTGATGAGTACTCCAGTGCTGGAGGCATTAAGGACAAAATTGGAGAATCGTCTTTCAGATCTACTTTGATTTGGATTCCTGCATGGCGCAGGGTCTTGAACTCAATGGCCTTATAGACCCCTTCCAACCTATGATTTTATGAGCTCTCCCCGTGAAGCGTTACAGATAAATATTACGATTGTTCTTTTTTATTCATAAAACTCAATAACCTCTGTCTTTTACCATTTAATATTAACTCCTAGCCCTGCTCTCTGGGTAGATACTTTTCATATCTCACTATCCATCTAAAATCTCATTTAATATTAACTCCTAGCCCTGTTCTCTGGGTAGATACTTTTCATATCTCACTTTGTAGCCCAAGTTTGGAAGAAGGGAAAAAAGTAAATTTGCTTGCTATGCAGATGCTGCCCCCACCAACTTCAAACAGGTGAAAATGTAAGCAAAAATGTTCCCTACTCACCACTACGAAAAGTTTCCCTGGGAGAGACTTTTCATACACTGTTTGAGAACAACTTTGTTAGTTAGTGGACATTTTTTACATTTAAGTGTTTCATTTTTTAAACAGTTTTATTAAGATGTAGACTTAGTCAAAATATAAGGCTAAGTCCAATAGTTAGTCCCAACTGGAGTAGTTCCTTGAATGAATGAGATTTGTTAAGTCAGCACTTATGTAAGTCCCACTGAATAAATAGGGCCTGTTCACACTGGTCATTTTGGGTGTGTGGTGGATCAGGCTATAATGGTTGTCTTGATCGTTGAGGGGGGGTGATGGGCCATTTGGCATGCTTTTCCCATCCAAACAGCAAACAATCCATTGTAGCCAAATAAGCTGTTAATTAAACACCTTCTGTTATTGTCTCCCTTCACCCCTCTGTGATTTCCTTCTCTTGTTCTCCCCGCACTTTGTCTCACCTTTGAAATCTGCAGCCAAGATGACAGAGGCTTCTCTCTTGGAGCTAAATAATGTGCATGCCAAAAAGAAGACATATCCTACTGCTGGACCAGAAAGGGAGTGACAGCTCTTAAAGGTGAAAGAGGAATCATTCTAAGTAGAAAAATTAGTGGATAAGGTCTTTTTTAAAAATTCAAACCATGTCATCAGCAAACTGTATACAATGGTACCTTGACTTACAAACTTAATCTGTTCCAGAAGATGGTTGTAACTTGAATTGGTTGTAAGTTGAAGCACCATTTCCCATAGGAATGCATTGGAACCCCATTAATCCATTCCAGGTGGAAAAAATCATCAAGAAGAAAAAAAGGAAAGAAAAAGGAAACACTGCAAGCCCCATTAGAACGTGTTGGGGCCGGGGAAAAAAATCACCACAAAGCAACACAGGAAACCACATCAGAACACTCTGGGGCTTTAAAAAAAATCACAAAAAAACACAACACCACAGCAAGCCCCATCGGAATGCGCTGGGGGGAAAACCACACCAAAAAGAAAAACCCACAAAGCAACACAGGAAACCCCATCAGAACACTCTGGGGCTTAAAAAAAAATCGCAAAAAAACACAACACCACAGCACGCCCCATTGGAATGCACTGGGACCGGGGGGAAAAAAAATCACAACAAAGAAATATAACCCTCCTAGCCCAAACCCACCCTACAAAACTCTATACTCACTCAGAACAGGCATTTTAAAAAGCAGAAAGCAGCGCCAGTCAGTCCAAAGCCTGCTCTGACGCACACATTCTAACCCAGGGGTTTTAAACTCAATTTACCTGGGGGCCGCTGGAGGCAGAGGCTGGGTGAGGCTGGGCCGCATCAGATTTTCCGCCAAGCGGATCAAGAGCCCAAGGAAGCCGCCCAGGAGTTTCCTTAGCCGACAGACAGGTGGGCTGGCTGACAGGCTGCAGTTCTGGATGGAGGGTGCAAGAGGTGCTGTCTTGGGAAACAGCCGGCGAGCGAGGCAAGGATTTTTTTTTACTCTTGACAGAATATGTGTGGGTGCTTTGGGAGGGGGCAGGCAAGGCGAGGGCCACAAACTATCATCTGGGGGGTCGCAAATGGCCCCCGGGCCGCATGTTTGAGACCCCTGCTCTAACTGTTAGGATGAAAGAGCTACAAAGAAGCAGCCTCTTCGCTGACCAAGAGTTAGTAATTTAAATTTCTTGCTTTTTTCTCCACCTTTTTTCTGATTGTAATTCAAAGCTCCGGTCTCAAGTCAAAGCAAAATTGTGTGGCTGGAGCTGGTCGTAACTCGAATTGGTCGTAAGTTGGGACATTTGTACGTCGAGGCACCACTGTACCATATCTATATGCCAGTGTGGACAGGTGTAGATGTACTCAATAAGAACTAAGAACAGGATTTAGTTTAGACCCTGTTAGGATTGTGTGGATTCAACTGATAACACAGTCTTATCATCTCTATTGTAATCTATTTATAGGAACACTGTCAATTCTGTTATTGTAATTAAAATAAGCATGTGTAAAACATACATTTGATGTACACTACATTTTAATGAGATCATAGAAAGTGATAAACATATTAAATAGAGATGAACATGAATCTGGATCATCAGTTACTGCTGGATCATTGTACTAGCAGTTCCTTCCCCAGTCCACCAGCTGGATTCCCCCATTCATCAGCTGGCGTGTACTCTGCTTCTCCTTCTCTTTGGTTATTTTTGCCAGTCATGGCAGTACCGACTAACCTTCTCTGCCTCCTCTAGCAGCTGCCCACTCAGATGGGGAGGCGGGGCAGAGATTACTGCAGCACTGCTTTTGAGTGTGCAGCTGCTGGAGGCGGCGGAGAAGGGAAGTCCATGCTCCTGCCTTGACTGGTGAAACAACTAAATAGGAGGAAGAATGGCGCTTGGGTTGGCTGGTGAGTGGGCAACTAAATAGGAGGAAAAATGGCGCTTGGGTTGGCTGGTGAGTGGGGAAATATGGGAGGGGCAGAACCATGCAACATCTGTGGTGCCAGTACGATGGACCAGTACAATCCAATGATCCAGATTCGTGCCCATCTAATATTGACAAATATCGCCCATGCAAGACTTGTTTGGTATTCTTCTTACATGTGTGTACTGTTTTCAGTCCAGTCTTACTGGTGCAGCCAGTTTACTAAACTTGTGTTGATGATAAATTTTACATTTTTTCCTCTTTTCAGTATTATTCCTTTGTCTTATACTATATCTCTCAGAGAAGACACACTTTATAAAGATTGTATGTCTTTCAGACTAAACGTTACAACTCTGTTTCCCCAAAAATAAGCCTGTAAAAGGATTCATCTCTAACTTTTGAAAGTTCCTCTTTTTGTGAATGAAATGACGATGCAGGTAATTCATTAAACAAAGATTTATTTACAAAACTCATGCTTTCTTTATTAACATCCACAGTCTCACTTAACAACAACTGACTGGGAGTTTCTTCCCATAACAACATTAACAGTTCCAACAGTTCCTCTCTTATTGGTAAAAGTGAGCGAGCTTCTCGGCCATCGTGGGTTTCCTCAGGTTCCCGCTTTGGGCTGCACATATAGTTCCGTAGCAAGGGTGCCAGCTCCATGCCCCCTCTGGCGATTTCTCCCCCAGTTGTAATGGTGAACAATCTGAACTGGACCTTGTCCTTTCGGATAGACTAATACTGTCCATTCCTCGGATTGTAAACCTTCTATCACTGGTTTAACTCTCTTTCCAATAATTTCCTCCACTTTCTCTTTTCCTATGGCTCCTCCTCTATATTCTTTATTTCCATTGGATCTTGGTATTTTAAACTCTTAGTTTGTGTATGTCAGACTCATTCCAATCATCTTCCAATAATACATTCTTTTGTGTTTCTAATGATTTTCCATTTTCTTCCTTTGTCAAGAAACCGTTTGTCTCTGTCCTCCCCCTCTCTTCTTCACCCCCTTTATACCCTCGCCTTCCTTTCTAACCTCATGCTCCCTCAACCCCTCCTTTTGCTCGTGCACTTTTAACCCTTTCAACTCTTCTAATCCAACTCGGATCACTTTCTCCTTTCCTCTTCCATCACTTTCCCTTTCACACAGCTGAGGGGATGGCACACTCTCAGGCTTCTTTCACTGCTCCTTGCTCACAAAGCCCTAGTATGATTTTTCTGCCTGCCCTCCACCATTGTGCAACAACCAGAAGAAGATTACATGACTGTATTTGAATAAACGTAGATTGTTGTACATGAAAAAAAACATCCCCTGAAAATGAGCCCCAATTAGTTTTTTTTTGGAGCAAAACGTAATATAAGACCCTATCTTATTTTTGGTGAAACAGTAAATTACTGTAAACCTGCAGTCATAGGATTCATAATTACTTCTCTTTTTCACTTTGGAAGTTTTACCACTAGAGCTAGGGATAGTCGTATATGGATATTCCCACACAGCTGGAATTAACAAGGATTCAGCCCCTGGAGCTGGACCATCCACTCACAGTTCAGGCCCTGGAGCCAGACCATCCACTCACACATCTGGTGGCGACCCCTTCCTTCTTTCTAATCACTCCAGAGCGCTGCTCGGCTAAACACTCAGCAGCCTTGCAGGGAGACTCTTCCCTTCTAATCACTCCAGAGCGCCGCTCAGCTAGACACTCAGCAGCCTTGCAGGGAGATCCTTACTTCCTCTGCCAGGAGTGGCTAGATGATCGGGAAGAGAATCGCACTCAGGAGTAATTGGAAGGATGAGCAGGGCCAGCAGCGGACATGGGAGTAGATGGTCCGGACCCTGCGGCCAGACCCACATTAACTGCAGCTGCATGGGGGTTTTCGAATATGAATACTCCCATCTCCAGTTATCGCCCTGATCATCTGCTTTGTTCTTTAATTCACTTAGGGAGGATATATCTCAGATTTTCCCCAGGTTATTCCATCCATCATCAAGGTAGACCAGAAGGGCGAGGGGGTGTTGCCATTGTATCTGAAAATTGGCTATTGGATCTGTTTGGATTCCAAAATGCCATGGGTGGGTTTTCAGATGAGCTGGCTGGCTTGGGTGTTGAAGTCCAAATCGCTGAATGAAATTCACCAGTGATACAGATAATTGATTCCATTGAACCTGAACACTCCCTTTGAGGGCCCACACCTCCCTGTGGTTCATGGAAGAGCTGCAGACCTTGAAACTAACTAGAAGGCTGGAGAACATCTGAAGGAAAGCTGCCTCAGATGTTATGAGAGTTGTAGTAAAGAACATATTCAATCAATACTGTAATGCTACCCAGGCTGCCAAAAAAGCCTACAGTTTTATGCAGATCAGTGAGACTCTTTACCAACAGGTGAGCTTTACATATTCCGTTTTTGAACAAAGATTGAGACCATCTGTAGTGCTCTAGACTCTGTTAGTGTGGCAATAAGTCAGACAAAGATGTCCAGTGCCCTGTCTTATCTGGTTGTACAATCTGTGATGCCTGATGATGTGGATAAGGTGCTTGCATGCTTTGAGGCCACTTCCACTTAACAACACCCATGCCCCTCCTGGCTCCTGAAATCAGTCAGAGAGGTGACAGTTGAATGGGCCTTTCAGATTGTAAACTCCACCTTCAGAGAGGGCTATATTCTCTCCTGCTTGAAGGAAACTGATGTCTCCCATTTTAAAAAATGAATTTACCATTGGACTATTTAAACAATTACCATAGAATGACCAACATACTGTTCATGGGGAACTGAGGTGGTAGTGGCTAATCAGTTGCACACATTCTTGGAGGAAATTGAGAATCTGGATCCATTTCAATCAGGGTTCAGACTGTGCCATGGGACTGAAACAGTTTTGGTCACTCTACTCAGTACCTTCTTTGGAAGGCTGACCAGATGAGTTTGACCCTGTTGGTTCTCATGGACCAGTTGTCAAGGATGTGGATCAGACACACAGCATTACTCTGGCTTCACTCCTTCCTCAACAACCAGCACCAAAGGATACAGCTGGGAGAGGCTGTTTCATTCTTGTGGGTACTGCAGTGTGATGTTCTGCAGGGGTAGATCATCTTCCATATGCTGTTTAACATCTATATGAGGCTTCTGGGAGAAATCATTTAGAGATTTGGAGTTCACTGTCATAAATATGCTGATGACATGCAATTCTATCTTTCCTTCTTCAGCGAAAGTTGTACAGACTCTGGAGTGCTGCTTGACATGGTTATGGAGTGGATGAGGGCAAATGGGCTGAAGCTGAATCCTGATAAGATGGAGATCCTGTTGCTGGGAGGGACCTTGATCAATTAGGATGCTGATTACTTGGTTTAATTAAGATCACACTCCTGCGAAGTATTAGGCTTGCAATTCAGGTGTGCTCCTCATAGACTTGGTACTCTAAATGGAGAATCAGATCTCAGCTGTGGCTAGGTCTGCCTTCTTTCATCTTAGGCAGATTGCACACCTTTGCCCCTACTTCAGCAGGAAGCCCCTGACAATACTGGTTCATACACTGGCAATCTCGAAGAAAGACTATTGCGGTGCTCTCTACATGGAGATGACCTTGAAGGTGGTGTGGAAGCTGTAGCAAGTGCAAAACACAACAGCCAAGCGGGTGTCTGGAACATTAAAATATGATCATATACAGTGGTGCCTCGCAAGACAAATGTAGTTTGTTCCACAAGTAGCGCTGTCTTGAGAAATTCTTGTCTTGCGAAAAGCGGTTTCCCATAGGAAGAAATTTTTGTCTTGCGAAAAAGCGGTTTCCCATAGGAATGCATTGCAATGCATTCCTATGGGAACTTCGCAAGACAAATGAATTTTTTTCGTCTTGTGAGGCATCGGTCATGGGGGGAAAATTGTCTTGCGAAGCACGGCCATATGGGGGGGAAATTGTCTCGCGAAGCACGGCCATAGAAGAAGCCATCTTGCGAGGCACCACGGCGATTGCAAAAACAATTTGTTTTGCAGGTTTTTCATCCCACAAGACATTCGTCTTGCGAGGCACCACTGTATCACAATAACAGTATTCCTAATGTTAATGTAGATATTTTGTCTCCTAATGGAGACAAAGATTTAGGATGTAACAGGTCACCATAACAGTATTCCTAATCTTAACGTAGATGTTTTGTCTCCTGCTGATGGAGACAAAGATTTAGGATGTAACAGGTCTGTTCTAAATTGGCATAAAAATGGATTTGGCCTGATATAAATAGATGTTAATGGAAATGCTTGGCATAAAACAAAAATAATCCAAGGGTGTGGCTTTTCCTGGTAAATTTCATTCCATTAGAAAAAATAAAGTACTAGACAGACAGTTGCCAACTTCTCCGTATTGATCAGGAACATACATTGTTCTGTATTTGTTCAGGAGTAGCAGTTGTCTGGCAAAGATTGTGTATTAACTAAATTTAGGAGTACTAATTCTCTTTTGCTCAGATGAATTACGGTATGTGTATTAGTTTAATTTATTTTTGCTCATTTCAAAAGGCAAGTGAATTCTGATGGTAGATCTCACAATCTATATTTGCATGTCCAAATGTGATGGAGCATCTTTAAATTCATTAAAATGAATTTTAAATTAATATTTTTTGCAGATCGTGCTAGTAAAAGCCTCAATCAACTGAAGCATGCCTTGGATGAAAATGATCTGGCAACAGGGGAAAATCCAGCTATATTTGAGCAGTTATTTCCTAATACTAGCCATGAAGAACATGAAGATAGAGCTTGGAAGGAGCTACAATACAGTCATGCAGGTTTGAAACATTCTGTTTCTGGCTTTGTTTTGGTCAGGAATGATTTTGCTGCTTAGGATATAATTTACAATTCTTTTACAGTAAATCAACTTAGAGCTCTATTAAGACAGCAACAAGAAAAAGAGAGTGAAACATCCCCTTCAAGAAGGATGACAGCATCACCCACAGTAAGTATTATGCTTTCTTTATTCTTTCTACATGAGCAAATAATTACATCCTTTTGGCAAAGACTTTTCCTAAGCAACATTTATGCTGTCACGTTTCACACTATGTGAATCTTGTAGACATTTAACAAGGCAGTAATAACCTAGTGCTAGAAGTTAAATATATTTATTATAGATGCAAACTGTATGTTCATTTTAAGCTGTCTTAGTTCAGTTCAGCATCATAAATCTGGGCAAATCTATGATTTGAGTGAAGCTACCACAGGGAGGTGGTTTAGTACACTTTGTTTTTTGGTGTCTATATACTCTAGCACAGTGGTCCCCAACCTTGGGTTACCACAGGGAAGTGGTTTAGTACAGTTTGTTTTTTTGGTGTCTAGATACTCTAGCACATTTGTATTAGCACCAAGCTGTTTCATCAGTCAGAAGTAATCACATGTCTGAACCAATGCAAACTGATTTTTTGTAAAGTAAAAAAAAAAGTGGTTAGAGTGGACCTCTCAAAGGTCCACTCTGGCCACACCATCCTGTTTGTTCTAGTGTTGGTGAAATCTGGAGGGCCACATGTGCTGATAGCTGAAGGCAATCTCCCTGTCCAGCACCCTCCTAATACCTTAGTTTTACCCAACTAAGTAGGGAGTTCTCAAAAATCCACAAGTTAAGTGCTTCATGTCTTACACCAGTCCTGTAAGGTAGGAATGCCACCACACCCACAAAATATGCAGGTTCTCAGTAAATGGTCAAGGCAAGGATTTTAAGTACCACAAACCTTCTTAATCTAAAAAGCTAAACAACTTATGAAAAAATGTATTTTATTTAAAGATGTTGAAACAGTCAAAAACCATTTCAGAAACAGTATCAACAGTTACAAAAGCTGTCGAAAAGGTTTTGGATGAAAGAATCATTTAAAGCTGGAGGTCGCAGCAATACAGATCAAACACAATAGAAAACAAGAAAGCTAGACAAATTTCTAGTACTTACACTCTAGCATAGCTTCAGCATAGTCTCAGAGCATACACTGAGACTTTGCTTGTAGAAAAGCAGAAAAATAAACATAGTTTCTCTTCAAATGGACAATTAAGCCAACTAAAGTAACTTCTGTCCCGATTTTATACCTTAATCTTCAGCTCCTGACTCTTCCACAGGTTCATCTAATCAGGCCTCAAGTTCCCACAAACTTTCAAAAAGGCAAGCCATTTCTGCTCCCTCCCCTCATTCAGCTGAAATCATTTTCTCAGTTACCTTAGTACCAGGGAATGAGCTAGCTTGGCTGTGAAGATCACTCTCACATTGATAAGCTGCAGATGTTCCTCCTTTCCAATTACTGGTAGGCGTTTACTCCCCCTTCACTGAGCCAGCTTCTTCTAGCTGCTGATCACAAAGCCTGAATTTTCCAGAAGTGGATCCATGATCCCTCAATTTCAGAAGCGCCAGCGGTAGGGAGAGACAATGTATTTGGGGGAGGAGGGACTGGGCTGATTGGCATTTCTTTTTGCATTATGTCATCAATGGGAAAAATGCAAATCAGCCTGCTCGAAACCCATAGCACTTCCTTTATTTTCCCTCACTGTGGTTTCACCTTTAGTCCAGAAAAAAGAAAAAAGCTTTATGGTGTTTGTACATAGTCCAAAGACAAAGTGATACCTTTAATAGACCATTGAAAATTCATACACAGAAGCTAGCTTCTGACATGGGCTTTATCTGGCTGAGCTTCAAGAGATTTTTGTGTATAGTGTGGAAAAATGTAAATTATGTTGTTGTTCTGTGCTGTCAAGTTGCCTCCAACTTGTGGCAATTCTGTGGATGAGTGCCCATTTGTCAGTACACCAGATACATTCTTTTCACATTTTAATCTCAGTTCTTGGGTTGCTTGATTTCTATTTTATTATAATTAAGTTGGTTTTCTTAATTTCACATTTAGACTGTGTTTGTTACTTACTATGCTGACTTTACTGAGTAGCTGTTGCAAAGAATCTAAATTGTCAGCTAATAATACTAAATTATCTGCATATTGGATATTTTTATCAGCTGTTGTGCAGATCTCCATGTCTTATGCAAGCAGGGGGACAGGGAAAAACCCAGTGGGCTGGTTATCATTCAGCAGAGAGGTTAGTGGAGCAACACAGAGGTTTATTCATGAAGTGTATAAAACAGCCCAAGCACCATTGTCCCTTCTTCTAAAACTGTCCTTTGTCCATCAAGTCTACATTTTTAATAGCATTTTAAATCCAGATTTGCTGGGTGGTTCTCTCCATCTCAGTCACTTAGTGGCTTTACTCTCTCACATGCTCTTCCTTAAAATGGTCTCTTTCAACTTGCAGTAGTCTCTTAAACTGGTGTTCCCTTCGGCAGCAACAGAGTTGGTTTGGAGTCAGCATCTAAGCCGTCCAGGCATTCATCATTGGCCTAATTGTCTCCAGCTCAAGATCAGGCTGATCCATCCATTCTGTCTTGTCTCCATAAGCTTTAGTATTTACATTGATACTTTTCAGGTTGCTGCTGATCACATGCATTACCTGTGTTAGTGTAAAGTGAGTGGAACGTATACCATAGCTATCTCCTTTTCTTATTATGCCTTCATGGGTTTTTCTTTAATGAATTGCCTCCTTAATAACAGTATATTATCTTGCCCTTTTATTTTGCCTTTTTATTGTATTTTAAATGTTGTAAGCCACCCAGAGACCTTTGGGTAGTGTGGGCGGCATATAAGTTAAATAATAAACAAATAAACAAACAAATAAATAAATAAATAAATAAACAAATAATAAATAAATAAATAAATAAATAAATAAATAAATAAATATATTCAGTTAGATCACTTAGTTATTTACTTTCTGTCCCTTCTCTGTTTTCATTTATTTTGTTTTCTTTAATTTGAGGCAGATTATGTTAATAATGGAATTATGACCTGAATTCATGTCACCTCCAGTTGGCACCAACATAACAGAGTTCTGGTACCTCTGCTTATGAATTATGCAATCTATTTAGTTCAGTATCAGAATGAATTTTTTTAAAAGACTTAAAAATTATAAAGTGAATTTTTAAAATTTTAAGTAAGTGTTGATTTTTTGTTGAAATGCTATTTGTTTTTGAAAAAGCATTATGTGATAGTTTTAATTTAAGATGTGTTACAGCTTTAATATCTCATTCTGGAATTGAAATTATAAATTCCTTGATCTCGTAAAATATTTTTTAAAGTTCTTAGATGGCAGGACTAAGAACCTGCCATCTACGTTTTGGATGTTTTGGAGAGGAGTGTTCCATAGTCTTGTGTATAGATTATGCAAGTCAACCTATGTCCCTAATAGATGCCACCATAATTGTTTTCATTTTTGTCTCCAGAGGTAAATATTTTTAATGGCAATTTATGGAAACAAGAAATAAGAGACCTGATTAGGTGTAGTACTTACATTTGACTGAGGCTGTTCTTGGAGCATCTTTCATGTTTCAGCATGAAATATTGTTGGAAATTTTTGGAAACTGTATTAAAAATCTCCAAGACTGTTTTCAGTAGTTTCCTTGAATTAGACTGATTCCTTTAAAGTGGCAACTGTGTTGTTCTCCTGCAACTCTTTATATTCTTATTTCAAATATTTTACCCTGCCTTTCTCCTTTAAAAGAATCCAAGGCAGCTTATATCATTAATAAGACAATATTTTAAAAATAAAACCAGTAAGTATACAAATATTCTAAAGGAATAAAATATTATATTACTATACGAAGACAAGTAAAGTCTACATCTTCCCCTGAAAAGACATACTCACTGTCACTGAAAATTTCAGTGAATATAGTATTATTGAAAGTAAAGTCAATTTGGGCAAGGTAATCATGGAAAATATGTATTAAAGTCACAGCAAGCAGGAGTGCACTTTTCTGGGGAAACGTTTGCATGATTCAGTTTTTTCTGAGTAGTGATTTAAATAAAACCTATCTCTGCCAACCTAGCAGTTCGAAATCCTGCAAATGCGAGTAGATAAATAGGTACCACCATGGTAGGAAGGTAACGGCAGTCCGTGTCTAGTTGCGCTGGCTATGTGACCATGGAAACTGAATGGACAAACGCTGGCTCTATGGCTTGGAAACGGGGATGGGCACTGCCCCCTAGAGTTGGACATGACTGAATTAAATGTCAAGGGGAACTTTTTCCTTTACCTATCTCTTCAGTACAATGTTCCTGTTAGTTTCAGAGATTTTCATGTGCATAATCGCCTAGATTAGAGATGGGCATGATTTATGGCACCAAAGATGCTGTGCAGATCCTCCCTCCCCTGGGCTGGCTGGACCACTCATACTGTTTCACCGCCATTGGGGTCCTTCTTCTCTTCCAATCCAGGTGGAAACTCGGGCTGTCCATCCCCACCTCTTCTAGGAGTTGACCACTATGATAAGAAGGTGTGATGAGGATTCTTCCTGTGCACCCAATGAGTGATCAGCTGCTGGAAGAGGCGGGGATGGGCAGTTCAAGCTCCTGCCCAGATTGGATCACCGCTGGAAGAAGGACAAAAGTGGTGGTGGGAAAATCAGCATAGTGACCTTAAGTCATGTCCATCTCTGTCCTAGATGTAGGTGTAGGTGACTACAATTTGTTCTTCATAGAATTATATCATTCATGCATGTATTCATTTTATGGACCTAGATCATATTTTCCAGCAAAATATGTGGGGCTTCTGTTCTTCTTGTGGTATTAAATACCCCATTTAGTTGCTGCCTTTTTAATACTTTATAGCAGCTTTTAATTCTGAATAGAATTCTACTACACCTTCTTCATTTTTACCATTATTTGAGATATTTACTTGTATGTTGTTGATGTCCTTGATATTTAGTAAATGTAAAGGTTCCCCTTGACATTTAGTCCAGTCATGTCCAGCTCTAGGGCGTGGTGCCCATCCTCGTCTCCAAGACATAGAGCCAGCGTTTGTCCGAAGCCAGTTTCCATGTTCATGTGGCCAGCGCGACTAGACACAGAATGCCGTTATCTTCCCACCGAGGTGGTACCTATCTATCTACTCGTATATTTATATGCTTTTGAACTGCTAGATTGGCAGGAGCTGAGACAAGCAATGGGAACTCACTCCATCGCATGGATTCGATCTTACAACTGCTGGTCTTCTGACCTTGCAGCACAGAGGCTTCTGTGGTTTAACCCGCAGCGCCACAACGTTACTTTCCTTGGTACTTAGGTTCAGTTAAATAAGCATTACCTATCCTGAGTATGGGATAGAATTTGTAACAGCAACATTTACATCTTTCTGCATTTGAACTATCTAATAATGCCACAGATAATTAATAATTAATGGCATTGCTTCTGAGGGTTTTTGAAGTATAACATACTCAGAATGGTTTATCAGTCCCTTCGTCTCTTGCTGAAGGCCACACAGGCTGGCTGTTCTCCCAGCAGTACAGTGGGAGATGGAACTCCTAATACTTGGCCACCTGCTCTAATCAGGGAGCACATATTCAAGCTTATATGCACAATTTGAATTATGGAGATGGGTCAAAATGAAAAATATAGAAGATAGCAATTATGTTAACACTGCTCTAGAATTTTCAAAGGGCTAGTCAGTATAAGCAGGCAATCATAATCTCATTTATACAAGTTAATTACCTTGAAATGTTCTTCTTTGTCTATTAATCCTGTTGGAAATATTTAAATATTCATCTTTTGATTTATTTTATGTATTATGGATTTTTCTTGCCTCTCATACTTTGTATATTCAGTTTCCTAATCTTACTCTCAGCCCCGAAATTCTTAGCATTCTGTGGCCATTTAAAGCCTGCTAGGGACTTGAGAGAGTTTAGCCATGCAAAGTGTACTTGGAACATGTATGTAATGCAGTAGTTTTCTATAACCTTCCACATTTCAGCACTATGGCTGATCCTAACTGCTGTCCTTTGGCCTCTGGTTGGTGATGACAGGGTGGCTGCTCAAAGTTGGGAGCTGGGTAAAAACAATTTGTTTCTTCAAGGCTCCATAGATATCATGGTGATGCTTCTCCACCTGAAACTGTATTTATTTCCCCCTCCCCCAGAATTGTTAATTAACTGCTACCTGATAAAAAATAATTCACAAATAGCATGGGATGTGCATTACTTTATTTTAAAACTACCTTTTTGAGATATTATAAGTGTTTGAGAGAGTCTTGCCTAAACTTCCTAACTGTGACTGATTGAATGTGTTTCCTCCAGAGAATGTCCAAGAGTACAGATCAGAATTTTCCTACACTTTGTGATCTTGCTCCCATCATTAATGATCAGTCTCAATATATTAACCATTTAGAAGCTGAAGTCAAGTTTTGCAAGGTATGGTGCTTCATGTTTAACTTAGTTATTATGTGAATTTTCAAGTGGATTATTTGTACAATATAAATAATACATGCAATTTTAAGGTCACAGTTATGGGCATTTGAAGCAGAAATTATATGTAGAGCACCTGAAAAATATGGTAGGTGTATCATGGCATTTGATCGCCTTTGTGTATAAATAGAGCTCAATTGAAAAAGAGTGTTTTTATAGTCAAATAAATTTGAAATAGGAAATAATGGTTTAGGACCTCAGTAATTGATGGAACCAAAATTATCCATCCCACCCACTCCTCTCAGTCCATGTTGTTAAAAGTTGCTACACTGAGGGAGGCCAAAAAGGTGAATGCAAGGAAGTATGCCTTTTCAATTGTGCCCACTAGTCTCAATAAAATGCTGACAGAGATACGCCAGGACCCTTCCCTTCGTGCATCTAGAAGGATGAACTGAATTATTTAATACTGCCTTTAACAACTGAATGGCCTGAATCCTGTCAATAATATATTTTTTAATCTTTTAATCAATTTTAGATTTTTTAATTGGGCTATTCATATGTATAGTTTAATTATTGTCTGTTGTATTGCTGTATTGTTTTGAACCATATTTTTTGTTATTCAGGTGTATTAAGGGCTTGTGTGTTTCAGCCTTGTGTAAACTGCCCAGAATAGAGCTTGCTGTAATAGGGTGGTATATACGGTAAATAGAATTAAGTAATTAATCAATTAACTAATTCAATCAATTAACAATCTCGTTAGTTGAAGTGCTACCCTGGGCATTTAATTGATTAATTAGCAGAAACATAGAAAACAGAGGAGATGTGAAGAATGGCTTGCCTCAGTTTGTACTGTTTTTGTTAACATTATGACATTTTAGCATTAATCTTTGTACTTCTGACTTTTCCATTGGAATCCCCAGTGATATACTATTTTCTCTGCTTTTCTCTGATACATATACCTGAATTATGCACGACAAACATATTTCTCATTATGTTTACATTTAATATCAAGTAAGCCATTGAAATAATTTTTTGGTAATCAAGGTAAAATATCAAGACTAAATAAAAGATATTGGTATAAAATTCAAAAAATTGCAGTTTGGGTATTCCTAATATAAAAATTATTATATAGTGAATTAACAAAGATTTGTTGGAGAGATTATATGTAAAGTAGGAAGATTAATTTGGTGGGATGTGGAATCTTCAGAAGTACAAGGAAATATTGAAAAATATTTGTTTAATATAGTAAGAACTATAATAAATCAGGTGAATAACACCTTTTTAAGAAGCATGTTCAACGTCTGGAACAGATATAAAAAGAACTTTTGTCCCTTTACTTCACCACTAAAACTAGTGACTGAAATAGAAAATTTCCCAGCATATTTGAAGGGCTTAGTTGATTTATTTAAGGATTAAAAAGTTGTCAGATTGAAGGATTGGATGATTAAAATGAGACCGAAGATTATTGCTCAAACTAATAAATTATCATGGTACAATTATATCAAATTTAGACAGATGGACTAATGAATGGTTGAAGACTAATGGCAAATGTAGAGAATGCACTAAATATGAACAGTTTCTTTCATCACATGAAGATATGCAGAAGGATGCTTTGAGGAAGGGAGTAGTAAAGAGAATTTATAACTTAATTTTGGATCAGGAGGAAAATGAGATTGAAATAGAAGGTTTGATATCAATTTGGGAATGTGATTGAAAGACAGAAATTAGAACAGAGGATTGGATAAAAAATTGGAGGATGAGAGTTTTAAGATTGATGTCAGTAAGAATAAAGGAGATTTTTTTAAAAGTTAGTTTAATGTGGGTATGTGACTCTGGTGAAGTTGAACATAATAAATTCAGATTATTCTAAGGCCTGTTGGAAATGTGATGAAGAAGTTGGCACGTATTATCATATGTGGTGGGAGTATAAACTGATTCAGAAATTTTGAAATTGATTTTTAATGAAATATGTGATATATTTGGAAAATATATTGAATTTAACTCTAAAATTGCCTTGCTGTCAATTTTTGATAAGCTAAAACTTGATTATTGCTCAAAGGAATTGATTTCTAATCTTATGACAAGTGCTAGATTAGTAATAGCTAGATACTATAAAGACAAACATAGTATTAAATTAGAAGATTGGTATAACGAAGTATGGGGCATTGAGCTAAATGACAAACTGACTACTGAACCTAAGATGAAAAGAGGTGAAATAAGTTTAAATATTTTCTATGCTATTTGGGGTAGATTTATTGCATTTGTATTAGTGAAAGGAAAGGGGAAATCCGCAACAATCAATACAATTTTGGAAAGGAGGTTCATAATTAAAAAATTGCTCCAAAGGACCCCGTGGGTATGGGGGATTCACTCTGTTTTAGATTGCTAGTAAGTATTTTGTATTGTATTTGTTTTGGAAAAATAATAAAATATTTTTTAAAAATGAAATAACTTTTTGTTTGGATCTTGTTATTGTTTGCTGTTGGTATTTAATGAAGCTTCTTCCTTGAATAGATTTTTGCTTCAGATTACGTACGTGATTTTAGAATATCAAAAGTTGTACATGGTTTTAGATGTAGACTTGTCTCACAACTGTGCAAAGTGACTTCAGATAACTGAATTCTGGCATTTTAATTTTGGAGTAGGGGAAAAAAATCCCAGCTTTGTGAGGATAGCCCTCTTTGAGGGAATATCTTCTGGGCAGAACTCTGGTGTAATAATTTCATCCATATTGCAGTTACCTTCAGGAATGAATTAAACTCCTGTATATCTTCCATGATGTGTAATACTTTTATTGGACTGCTAAAATATTAAAAACAGATGAGTTCTTGGGTCCAGCAGGATCCTCTTTCAGGCTAAGCACTGCGAAGCTGGGGGAGGCGGGGGCAGAACAGGAAAAAAATCATGAACTAGATGATTCCCATTTACAAACATGGAAAAAGACAACTGCATTGCCAGAAGTAAAATCTAATACCCAAAGCTGATTCAACAAATTTGCAGTCTTCATTTTTGGACTTTACCTTAACTCAGATTATGATGCTGCAACATCTGATCAGGATGATCTTTGAACTTCTTTTGTTTCTCCCCACACTCCGTCAACTGTGTGAATTGAGCATTTCATCACCATGGCTAAAATGTTAAAACATCTGATTATTTTTCATTTATTTTACATACTTAATGTTTTAGGAGGAAATGTCTGAACTGAAAACTCATATACACGTGGTTGTACTTGAAAATGAGAAGCTCCGTGATGATCTGAAAAGGCTAGCAATGGACCATACTCTGAGAGTCCAAAATTTCCCAGCTACTTCAGTAAGTTTTCTTGTATTTGGAAATGGTAGTTCAAATTGATTGTGTCCTTAAATGAGAAATCCAGTAGCTAATGAATACAGTGGTGCCTCGCACAGCGAGGGTTAATCCGTTCCGGATTAACCCTCGCTGTGTGAAAATATTGCTGTACGGATCAACAAAAGCCATTGGAACGCATTAAACTTAGTTTAATGCGTTCCAATAGCAGCTTTACTCACCTTACAGCGATGTTTCTCCGATGGCCGGCAGCCATTTTTGCGCCCTCCCCTCGCTTAACGAGGGCGCGAAAATGCTGCGCGTGGTCATTTTGGGGCTTCCGGCGGCCATTTTGAAGCCGCCGAACAGCTGATCGGCAGGTCGCAAAGCGAACCGCTTACCGACCTCCGCTCTACAATTTTGAGCCATAGGGGCCGTTGTGCGGATTCGTCGTTCTATGGTGCACTTGTTGTGCGAGGCACCACTGTATATAGAAGTGAGTTCATACTTCAACTGTCAAAAATTTTCTGGCAGAAGGCAACTAACTGGATTCCGCCCCATTTACTTATATAGAAAGTATATCAGTTTGGGGGAACAGTGGGCAGTGTGCTGCTGCGGCGGAACTGGAAGTGGTGGGGGAAGGTGGAATCCCAGCACAGAGGTGCTCCAGATCCGTCTGCCGAAGTGCCAGCACCACAGCTGCAGCCGCATTCTCGGGTTTGGCTGCATGGGGGTGGGTGGGCAGAATAGCAATCCTGCGACTTATGGATCATGTGCTGGCAGAAAGGGCTCTGCATGTCAGCTGTGGCACACATGCCATAGGTTCACCATCGCTGACCTATGGTATCCCTCAGGATTTTCTTTTGTCCCCTGTGCTATTTAACATATGCATGAAACCTCCGGGAGTGATTATCTATCATTTTGGAGTTTAGTGTCACCAGTATGGAATGACACCCATTTCTATCTCTCCTTCCCATCTAATTCCAAACCAGCTGTTCCTCTTCTGAAGCAGTGTCTGTTGGCAGTAATGGACTGGTTGAGGGCAGAAAGATGGAAGCTTAATTCAGACAAGACAGAAGTACTCCCGGTCAATCAAAAGGCATATCAAGGAATAAGAATTCAGTCTTTCTTGGATGTGCTCACACTCCCCCTGACAACTCAAGCTTGGAGCTTGGGTGTACTCGTGGACTCATCCCTGACCCTGGATACTCAGGTGTTGCTGGTGGCTCAGAGTGTATTTGCATAGCTAAAGCTAGAGCACAAGCTGCACCTATTCCTGATTTGGCTAAGGTGACAGACGCATGCCTTAGTTACATCCTGTTTGGAATGCTGCAACATTTTCTGTGTAGAGCTGTCTTGGAAAATAGTCTGGAAACTTTAGTTCAAAATGCTGCAGCGAGGCTGCTGACCAGGGCAGGTTATAGCAAGCATATAATTCCCCTGTTCAAATAGCTTCACTGGCTACTGATCCATTTCCGGGCCAAATTCACAGTGCTTGTTATGACATACTAAGCCCTACATGGCTTGTGTCTAGTCTGTCTGAAGAACTGTATCTGCCTGTATGAGCTTGCCCAGCTCTTCAGGGAGGATTCAGTTCCACCATCCTCACAGGCATGTGTGTTGTGGATGTGAGAAAGTGCATTCTCTGTGGATACTCAGAGGTTATGGAATACCCTCCCCCAGGAGCCTTGGTGGACTGCCTTCTCCTTGTCCTGCCAGTGAAAAGTAAAGACCATATTTTTTTAGGCAGACTTTTAACAATTGGGCAGTGATGAGTTTGGGCACTGCATATTATATATGTTTTAATGTGTTTTTAAAACAGTTTTAATGGATTATTTTAATACTTATATAGGATTTGGCTTTCTAATAAATTGTGAGCCTGCTTGGGTCTCATAACTGGGAGAAAGGCGGCACAGAAATACAATAGATAAATAAAATAAATATTTGTACTTTTATACAGGCATTATTTTTTCCCCTTGATCTATGTTTAGTAGCGCCTGATGAATAATGATAATTATACATGCAGGAGCTCATGTGCCTTGTATAGCTTTTGTTCCCTATCCTTTGCACTCTGACCTCTTAAACCAGGGCAGGAAATATGCAGTCCACAAGCTATGTACAGACCACTTGGGTCCTGATACAGCACAACCTGTGCCACTAAATCATCCCACAAACAGCACATAAATCTGGGAAAAAGTATTTTGGCTCAAGAAGTCCCCTTATGCTGCCAAATTTGCTTTGTTTTGAGCACCACCCCAGAAATCTTGCCCCCCCAATACCCCAGAAATATAATCTTTTATTTTAAAAATGGCCATTACCGGGCACAACAGTCATTTTGGTAAGAACACTTTCCAAGGGCAGGACAAGGGTCATAGCAGTAGGTACAGCCCTATTAGTCCAAGGATGAACATGCATTATCCCCAGACTTCTGGAGATCAGATACCCCCCCCCAACTTACATGCTTTTTTTTACTGAGAGTCATGGGATCCTTTAGAAGGGCCTGGTATGTGACATAGAGTTAGACTGGTAGACTGCAGAAACGTTTGCTTTCATAATATTTGGAATCAAACAAATGCTATTACTCGAGTTCTTCACATAGCATAACATATATACAAGTTTCATATAGATATATAGATGCTTGCAAAGCATGTGTTTTAAATCTGTACACCTAGGCATAAAAAATAGATGGGCTGAATACAATTTTTATTTTTATTTTTCAGGCCACTCCTCAGAATGCCAGTGCTACAGGTGGTGATTATTCTCAGCTTTGGAACACTGCCAAATTACCATCTCATATTAATGAGAAGGACACTGCAGTTCCATTAGAGAAAGATAAATGTCAACAGGAGCTGGTAACTGTTAATCTAGTATTATTTTATTTAGTATTCTGGAACAGGAAATTATTTTATGTTGTCCCAGAGGAGCATGAAGAAAGTCTAATAATCCTTTTATATTGTACTTGATTAGTTTATAAAATTGAATAGAATGAATGTCAATATTCTGATTTCTGACAGTGACTGATGCCCTTCACAGGTTCATAAACATGACATGTTTGTTTCTCAGTCCAAGTAGGCAAGGTATATGTTTCCTAAATCCAGTACTTTCAGTTAGTAACTTGTGGTTTCATTTGGTAGCAGTTTTAGTTGATGAGATAGGTAATAAGTGCAGTGTAATATGAAAGGTTGCTCATTTTAACAAATAATTATTTCCTGATTTCTGACTGCAGATTAACCTGGAAGGAAGTAAGCAAGTACTTAATAAAGATTTTCTTAAGGCGACGAAACTCGATCTTAAGCTAAAATAAAGGCTCTAAGCAATAATTTATAACAAAGTAAATTTAAAAACAAGTTGAATTAAACATGTAAAAGTTGCAGATAAACTTGAAAAGCTGCTAGTAGCTGCACTTCCATTTTTTCATTGGCAGATTGTGTTACAGGGTTTTTGGAATTTGCCTCTTTAAAAGGGGAATATTCAGGGGTTTCTGAAAAAATTGGCTTAGGGTGGCATCAAGCAGCCAGTGGGCCATGTCACATCCAATTCTGCTTTACAGCTTCAATTGGTTACAGATGTGAACAAGCAGAAGTGAAGTTCTTCTAGAATGTGCATCTCCACACCAGTGAACTGTCTAGTTGTCACCAGCTGGAGCTTTCAGAACATATTCAGGCACTATTCCATGTATAACACATTGCAGTGATACAATGAGGAGTTTACCACTGTGGCCACACATTCCCTGCCCAGAAATGACCACAATTATCAGACCAGTTGAAGTTGGCTTCTAGTGAGAAAGCTGGAACTAGTAACACCCATTTCAATCCATAGGCCTAAAACTGGCACTGAAACAGACTTGGTTGTTCTAACTGATAACTTCTGTCAAGAGGGAGAGTGGGCAATATTAATTCTCTTTGATTTCTCAGCATCTTTTGATAATGTTGATCATGGTCTTTTTCTGGAGTCACTATCTGGGTTATAGGTGTGAAGCACATTTTTTTTAGAACCCCCCAATCTGATTGTACAAGTAATCTAACATGCAAGGTGCAACAGACTTATTCCATGTTGCACAGGACTTCATGGGTGCCACGAGAATTTAGGGTTTGTCCTAGGAGGTCATTGGCTCAGTGTATGACAGATTATTCTCTGGAGCTAGTTCTGACAAGTTGATGGAAGATAGTGGTTTGGATGGTGACCATTTATTGTTGAAACCACTTTAAAGAGTGCCCTTTACCACCAGAGAGATAGGAAGAGAGTTCATCCCTACAGATTCTCTTGAATGGTAGCTTTCGATATTATCAACCATGTGGCAGCCTGTCTTCCAAATAAGCTTTGAAGTCTTAGAACTGGAGGAATAGTGCTTTTGCTAGATTTGTTCCTATCTAAGGAGCCTCTTCCAAGAAGTTATAGTGGTGAACTCTATTTGAATTCTATGGCATTTGTGCTTAAGGACTCTTATTTTCTCCCCCATCGACATGCATCTGAAACCAATAAATGAGACGAAATAGAGATTTGAAAAGAAGTACAGTATAATCTATATGCAGCCAGGGACCTCTGTCTCTGTTGCATCTGAGTCATACAGTATGTAGTGAACGAAATATAAAACCAGTCTCAGGGAGCAGCACTGGAATGAAGAAGGTTAATAAATTAAACCTGAGTCCAAAGAAAGTGAAGGTACAATAGTACTTTTTCTGCTTGGGAAGGTGTTTCTCAATGATATCAGAGATTCATGTCACTGGATGGAGAAGTAGCCTAAATGGCCTTACATCATCTTTTATAAACTAGATAGGTACCACAGTTCTGACCATACCTGACCAGAATTATCTGTTCTTCGGTAATCTCTAAACTGGATTAGTGTCATGTGTGCTGTATGTGAATCTGCCTTGGAAGTTTGTGTGAAAACTGTACTTAGTTTAAAATGCAGCTGCCAGATTGCTAATCGAAAATTCGATCAAAGGGTCATATCTTGTCTGTGCTAAACATGTTTATTAGCCCCAGAGTTCAAAGTACTGGAGTGCTTTTATTTTACTTCAGACCCAGTTGTCTCTTGGAGCCACTTCTCCTGAATCTGTCTACCCATTCATGGGAGTAATTATCTGAAAAAAAAATTCACCTGTTTTCTGACCTGACACAGGCCATTACAAAGCATTTTTGTGGTGGCACCCTATCTATGGAATGACATTTTCAAGGATGACAGCCAGGCTATCATTAAGACGTTCTTTTAACCTCTTAAGTAGATTGGAAGTTGTATGTTTTATCTCATGCATTTGTACTGAATTTTATTGGCTAAATTCTGTTGCTGTTTTAATCAAAAAAAAAATTATTTCTTATATTGCTTTATAATTTTTATTTTAAAGCAAGCAGTCTGGGAACACCATAGTGTCCATAGTCTTCAGAGAACAGTCAACAGTCTAAACAGAACTAGACTAATCATGAAGCTGTTTTAGTAGATAATTATATCATATTCTAACAAAGTTATTGACCTTTTATAAGTGACTTGCATTGATTTTTTTTGTTAGTGCAAATCACTGATGTTGTGATGATGACTGGACTTAATCAGTTACTTGTAATTAAATAACAAAGTTTGTTAATTTTATCTTAAAGGAAAAGATAAAATATCTCTATCAAGAAAGAACAGAAGCACTTGAAGCTCAGGTACAGTCTTTAAGGTAAAAAAAGAGTCTTTCTCACTTAGATTGGAGCCTGACACAATGGATTTTCTGTGTTTTGCGTCATTACATCCATTCACAGTTCAGCATAACAAATCATCAATTATTTTTCTGAGCTCCAATGAAATATGAGTCTTAGGCTGCATATACAGACTTTTCTGAGAGCTTGGAGAGAGTATTCTTAAGTTATCACTACTGTTAATATTTTTAAATTCTTTTCTGGTCACTGTATTTTTTCAAGTAGCATCAGAGAAAGTGGAATATCCTGGCAGCAAAACCGGCACAGCTATATAGAGGATTTATACATCTTTTGCAAACATCTGTTGTGTAAAATTTATGATTTATCACTGATGAACAATACTGCAGGAATTAATGCTAAAAAGCATCATTTATTTTACATTCCTCCTAACATTTAGAAGTGTTTAGTTTGCCTTGTTTTTTTCTGTTCTACTGTGTTTCCCTGAAAATAAGACAGGGTCTTAAATTAATTTTTGCTCCAAAAATGCATTACAGCTTATTTTCAGGGGATGTTTTATTTTTTTCATGTACAACAATCTACATTTATTCAGTCATGTCATCTTCTTCTGGTTGCTGCACTGTGGTGGAGGGCCAGGTTTCATTTAACTTGGGCTTATTTTGTGGGTGAGGTTTATATTACAAGCATCCTGAAAAATCATGCTAGGTCTTATTTTGAGGTTAGGTCTATTTTCGGGGAAACAAGGTAGTATGGTGAAAAATGTGTTCATGTCTCATTAGTGGCACTGACCATTCATGTAGCCTGTTAAACAGATGTACAAACAACCCACTCACCTACCCTGTAAAGTTCTGTCATAAATGTGAAAAACTGTATACTGTACGTGTAAAATTATTTTCCTCTTGCAATTGTATCCTCTCTTTCTCTTAGATTTATAGAATTACCAAGCTAATGATAGCTACATGAACAATAGTGACTTTGGAAGCAACAAGAGAATGTTGTCTTATGTCTAGTACTCCTGATTGTTTGTAATGCCATGTTTTGTTATTTTTCTAGAAAAGAGCTAGCAGAGTCTCAAAAAAACTGTGAAGAACTTAATGGAAGATTTAAACATCAGAGTTTGCTCGCATCAAGTAATTCCAATAGAGTTGGTGGTCTTTGCTTAAAATGTGCACAACATGAAGCTGTCCTTTCCCAGACTCATTCACATGTCCACATGCAAGCTATTGAAAGACTAACAAAGTAAATATTAACATAGATCTAAATTAAATTTAATCCCTGTAAATTATCTGTAACAGTGTATCTGAACTTTACAATCAGCTTCTGACTTCACAATGAAAAGTTATCTGGAGTGTTAGCACCTCTGACGTTCCTCAGAAGCTTGCTTAAAATGAATGGGTTAATATTACATGTTAATTTATCATTAATAGCTATATTCCAAACTTTTTTATAGCATTCATTTATTTGAAAATCATGCTTTACTTTCCAATCTGGAGGAAACAAACAATAATCTGTGATTGTGAAGTTTGGGGAAGTATAAGAAAATAGTGCCAGTGCACTTGAACGCAATCAGCCATTTCAGTTTCAGTAACTTCTGAATGTAAACACAGTGACTTAACTTTAAATAAATTGTTAATTGATTTGATTCCTCATATTCTCTTCAAAATAAATTGATGACCAAAATCTACTTGCATAAATTATGTGATTGTCATTTGTGAGGGAAATATACTAATTTAATTAGGATATGAACATACATTTTGTACTTGCATTATTTTTGAAAGGATCCTAATATTGAAATGATAAGGAATCTTGAAATTTTATAGTATACTTTTAGCAGCTGTCTGAGTATTTCACAAAACTTTAGGATATATATTCCAAGATGGCAAAATAAATAAATAAATATATAAATAAATAAAATATACTTAGAATATGATAGCCTCAATTTAGCCTTTTTAAAGTTTCTGGTGAAAATTCAGTTTTGATTTGATCTAGCAGCCACCTATTTGTCTCTCTTGTGGTCCATGGTATCCCTAAAGCTCTCCTCAATAGTGCATTTTGAATTATTTTTTTCCTGTTACCTTTTTCAGCTACCCAACTTCCATTATTTGTATGTGGTAATTGGTAATACCATACCATAGATGATCTTGGCCTAGTCCCCAGTGACATGTCCTTACTCTTAAGGATCCTTTTCATGGTTACAGTTCCAAGTTTCACTCTTTATTAGCAGCTTCCCTTTGGATTGATGAGTGAACCAAGTTGTGTACACAAGATGTGTGCATACATATGGGTTTGTTTATTTGATTCTTTTCAGCATACAAGAATGAATTATATATAATTCCTGATCTGATAACTGCCACTATGGTCTTGGTATCTTAAATTTTAAAAGGTTGTCAAATGTTAAAGCTGATATTAATCAAATCAAGCAAGACATCCCTCATTTTCCTACTTTTTAAATACATTCTCCTCCTATTCACTTCCCAGGGAGAGAGATGAATTAATAGGAGCACTTTCTTCAGTCAGAATAAATCTGAGTGAAATGCAACGACGAGAATGTAGTGCTTATGAACAAATGAAGCAAGCTGTACACATGACTGAAGAAGCCAATTTGGAAAGAACTAAGGTAAACCAAAAAGCAGTTTTAAACATGGCAGGAGTGCAGCAAAATATAATATGCTGAAAAAACCAAAATAAGGCATGTAGTGCTTGTCTACTGTTTAACCTCCTTTTCAGAGGCATTTAATTGGCTGCTCTTGAACTGCTGTTAGTATCAACTGTGTATTTTGGTGCAACATGTTAAATGTACAAAATATACTTGCCCATGATGGCAAACATTATTAGATGATATGCACTTCGAAACCAAAATTACAGGGCTTAACTGCCATGTCTTTTCTATTCATTACTGCCTATCCTTTTAGTTTCACCTATCCTTCAGTAAATTGCTCCCTTTTTCTTCTTGCTCTCCCTCTTGAGAGTATAATTGCTTACCTTTTTTACTACTAGAGTGTTCCCTTTATAATTGTTGCTTTCCTGAAGACCCCTAATCTTTCCATGTAGGGATGACAACAGACCTGTACTTATCAATGCTTTGAAGTTTCTATGTAGGGTTGAAGACAGACTTGTTCTCTGGAATACATCCTTCATGCTGGAGGCAGGTGGCAGTTTTAACTGAATCTTCTTTCTCCACCACCTTCCATATATCACCATCATCATCATCATTATGCATTTGCTGTGATTCAAATGTGAAATTCAGACAATTTCCTTTCTTTATGTTTCCCCATAGCTGCTTTTGTGTGTTTTTAATTTCCACGATACTCTGTTAAGCAGAAGGATCAGAACGTTTACTCAGTGGCTGAAATCCTGTTGGCATGATTTACACCGTATAAAGTGATTACATGAGCAGCGGCAGCAAGCATGATTTTTTGGAGATCAAGCATTTCTGACATCTGTCCAGAAGCTCCTGAGGCTCCCATGTACACCCAGGTCTTAGTATCTAAAGGCTTCCTCCTTCCATTCTATGGTTCCCATTCCTTCCCAACAATGAAAGGGATTGCACAGAAGGTTTGGGAGCTTTGGGACAGAAGTTGGAAATGTTTATTTTCTGAAAAATTTCCACTGCTACCAAATGGATTTCATCCAGTTTCTTTTAATAGGTAGCTCTGAGAGCTCTGTTTCTGGAAGAGCTTTTAGAAATACTACTGAGCTGAGTTTCCTCTGTCCAACATAAGGATTTTGATTTGGTTTCCATTTAGGTTTCTAATTTTTCAGAGCTCATACAAACAATGTGGTTAATTCATCTTAGTTGAGATGTTGAGATGCTATGTGAAATATAGTTTAACGGCCTTTCAGTTCCTAATATTTATTTTTGAAACTTATTCAATCTTTCAATCTTTATTTGCGGTCTCCGACCCATTAAAATACATACATATAATATTTATATGTATGAGGAAGCAATTAAAACTTTACAAGACAGTTAAAACAGTATAAAGTAAAAGGTTAATTGCCTATACATTGTTTTTTTAATATTAATATTATTATTCTAAATCTTTGTTTTGAGAGGTTGATTTGTTGTCCTATTAACTAGTGCCATCTTCTGTGTACTTAGTGAATTGCCTCTAATTAATCAAACATAATTTTGAAAAGGAACAAGATAACATAGTGCAGATGAAAATTCTTTTATAGTATTGATTCAAATCCTCTGTGAAAGGACCTTATTGTTGTTTAGTCATTAAGTTGTGTCCAACTCTTCGTGACCCCATAGACCAGAGCACGCCAGAACCTCCTGCCTTCCACTGGCTCCCGGAGTTAGATCAAATTCATGTTGGTAGCTTCAATGACACTGTCCAACCATCTCGTCCTCTGTCATCCCCTTCTCCTCTTGCCTTCACATTTTCCCAACATCAGGGTCTTTTCCAGGGAGTCTTCTCTTCTCATGAGATGGCCAAAATATTGAAGCCTCAGCTTCAGGGTGTGTCCTTCCAGTTTGCACTCAGGGTTGAATTCCTTCAAAATAGATAGATTGGCTCTCCTTGCAGTCCAGGGGAGTCTCAAGAGTCTCCTCCAGCACCACAATTCAAATGCATCAATTCTTCAGCGGTCAGCCTTCTTTATGGTCCAGCTCTCACTTCCATACATCACTACTGGAAAAACCATAGCTTTGACTATGCAGACCTTTGTTGGCAAGGTGATATCTCTGCTTTTTAGGATGTTGTCTAGGTTTGTCATCACTTTCCTCTCAAGAAACTGGCGTTTTTTAATTTTGTGGCTGCTGTTAACATCTGCAGTGATTATGGAGCCCAAGGAAGAAGATATGCCTCCCCTTCTATTTGTCAGGAGGTGATGGGACCAGTGGCCATGATCGTAGTTTTTTTGATGTTAAGCTTCAGACCATTTTTGCGCTCTCCTCTTTCCCCCTCATTACAAGATTCTTTAATTCCTCCTCACTTTCTGCTGTCAGAGTGGGATCATCTGCATATCTGAAGTTGTTGATATTTCTTCCAGCAATCTTGATTCTGGTTTGAGATTCATCCAGTCCAGCCTTTTGCATGATGTATTCTGCATATAAGTTAAATAAGCAGGGAGACAATATACAGTCTTGTCGTACTCTTTCCCCAATTTTGAACTAATCAGTTGTTCCATATCCAGTGCCAACTGTTGCTTCCTGTCCTACATATAGATTTCTCAGGAGATAGATAAGGTGGTCAGGCACTCCCATTTCTTTAAGAACTTACCATAGCTTGTTGTGGTCCACACAGTCAAAGGCTTTTGCGTAGTCAATGAAACAGAAGTAGATGTTTTTCTGCAACTCTTAATGACCTTAATTTCAAGGATTGGGGATTGCAGTCTATGTAGTTTACCACACTTTGCTTTTGTGTGGTAATCTCAATCATGATCCCAATGTGATTTAAAACTAGATATATTAAAACCACATTATGATGTAATATTAAATCAAATAAACAGATTATTAGATTAAAAATAATAAATTGAAACTAATTTGCATGATTTGAATGACATGCATTCAAACTTAACATAAGAAGAGCCCTGCTGGATCAGGCCAAGGGCCCATCTAGTCCAGCTTCCTGTATCTCACAGTGGCCCCACTAGATGCCTCTGGGAGCACACGAGACAACTAGATACCTGTCTCCTGATCCCCCCTCCCCTGCATCTGGCATTTTGATATACCTTCTTTTTAAGCCTGGAAATTATACATCTCTGTCATGACTTGCAACTTGTGATGGACAGAAATCTGGCCAATCCCCTTTTAAAGGCATCTAGGCCAGATTCCATCACCACATCCTGTGGCGAGGAGTTCCATGGACTAACAACACGCTGGGTGAAGAAATATTTTCTTTTGTCTGGTTCTCACTCTCTCAACACTCAATCTGACTGAATGTCCCCTGGTTCTGGTACTGTGTGAGAGGGAAAAGAGCTTCCCTCTATCCACTTTATCCATGCCCTGCATAATTTTATACATCTCAATCAGGTCCCCCCTCAGGCACTTTTCTCTAGACTGAAGAGCCACAAATGCTGTAGCCTTTCCTCATAAGAGAGGTGTCCCAGCCCAGTCATCATTTTAGTTGCTCTCTTCTGCACCTTTTCCAGTTCCACTATGTCTTTTTTGAGGTGTGGTGACCAGACCTGTATGCAATACTACAGGTCCGGCCTTACCAGTGTTTTGTACAATGGCATTATAATGTTGGCTGTTTTATTTTCAATCCCCTTTTTAATGATACCTAGCATGGAATTGGCTTCACTGCCGCCGCACACTGGGTTGACACTTTCATTGAGCTGTCAACCAGCACACTTTCCTAATCCATCATGGACAGTTCAGATCTAGAGATGGCGGTATTCGTATATGAATATGAATATCCCAGCACAGATGGTGTTAACAAGTGTCCAGCCCCATGGGGCCGGACAGTCCACTCACCCATCTGACTCAGTCAGCATGATTCTACGAATGGAGCCACAGCGTGCAATCCACTCACTACTCCTGGCAAAGTTTTATATCATTTGCAAACGGCCACCTCACTGCTTATCTGTGTCTCCAGGTCATTGATGAACAGGTTGAAAAGCACCAGTCCCAGGAAAAATCCCTGGGGCACACCGCTTTTCACCTCTCTCCATTGTGAAAATTGCCAATTGACACGTACTCTCTGTTTCCTGGTTCTCATCCGATTCTCAGTCTGTAAGACCTTGCCCTTTTATCCCCTAACTGTGAAGTTTTCTCAGCAACCTTTGGTGAGGGACCATGTCAAACGCTTTCTGAAAATCCAAAGTGTAAGTGAACATTAGTATACTTGTATTGAAATACTGCTAAGTATATGATCCATGACTGTCCTTCAAACAGCTTGTGTTATTATTTGCAATAGGACCCCCATATCTGTGGGGGATCAGTTCCAAGCCTACCCGCAGAAGCTGAAAAATTCAGATTAAAGTTAATATTATTTTAATAGTAATTGCTTTATGTAGCATCTGTGGCTTGCTCTAGTGGCCAATTCTGATAACTTCATCTTTAGAAATATGTATTTCTTGGATTTTTCTTTTAATACTTTTAATATTTTCAGATTGTGGATAAGTGAATCAATGGATACTGACCCCGTGGATACAGGGTTCCTACTGTATATAATTTCATCTAGAAATCACAGTAATGAATTCTTCTTTAGCATTCATGTTTTAGCATCATTCTTAGTTGGAAAATCTCTAAATGTAAGTTTTCGGGCTCTATTATGCAACAGTATTGACTGTCCAATGTTAGTCCTGCTTAGAACACCACTGAAATAAAGAGATGTCTTACTTACAAATTACTTGAGTCTGTCAGGGGGTTTATACTAAACAGGACATATGTTGTATTAGACCATAAAATATGCAATTTAACATTTGAGTAGTCTTCTTCTGAGCTGTTGTTTGCCAGCTTTGGCTTTATTCAAACATAAATCTTGTTGTACATTGAAGAAATGTGTAATTATTTCTGGTCTTTAAAATGTTACTGTCTTTACAGGCTCTAGTCCAGTGTGAGCAACTTAAAAATGAAATGGAGAGGCAAAGAGATCGTCTTGAAAGAGAATTAGCAATCCAGTTAGATAAGAGGGCTCAAGAACGAGAAGCAGTTCGTGAAGAAATGAACAAAGAAAAAGAGAATTTGTCATCCTTGGTATTTTAACTTTTTGGTATAAATATTTTAAAGTGTAAACAGTGATTTTCGAATTCACTTTTAAAGGAAGCTAAACTCTGGGTCTTACTCTAGTTGCTTTTTGGAGCATTTTCTATGTTTAAAAATATAGTTGACCTAAGTTTCAGAAGAGAAGATATCTGTTGTCCTTTTTCAAAGTAAGCCATTTTAAACCACTTTATGGATATATGAAACTTTTTGAAAATGCTTTAATAAGAAAAAAAAGAAAGAAAGCCCTTGAAATGTGAACTATTTTAAAACAGATTCAGTCCAGTTATGTTAAATAACTACAGGCTTGGGTTCAGATCTAGATGAAGAAGTAAGTGTCCTGTTGCTTTCACCACATGCAGAAGTGAAATCAGGGACTGTATATGTAACCAGTACCTTGTCAATTAGCCATCATGGTTTGTGTGAAGGATGGCAGGGTAGACAAAGTCCTTGCCAGAGTGCCATCCCTCATCCATGGAGCAAGTGGTGAGCCCAAGCCCAAGATCCCTGAGAGGAAAACAACCCCTTCATCAGAGGAACAAGAAACAAGCAACTAAGGACGAAGAAATAGGAGCAGCTTATGGTGCCCAGAGAAGAGGCTGAGAGGAGAGGGAGAGAGGTAGTGCCAGTGAAGCCTTCTTATTCGGGTGAGAAGGAGGCTTGAGAGTGGGCAAGGAAGGTCAGGGAGGAGAGAGCCAGCCTGGCTGGGTAAGGAAAGGAGAGGTAGAGGTAGATGGCAGCGGCCCTCAGAAGCAACAACACCCGAGACCCCAACACTTGAGAATACTCGGGAGCAGGATTAGACAGGTCTATGCCAACGGCATCTGGAGGGAATGGAGTGCCCTTGCTGTCAGTTCCACAAGATGCCACATTGATGGACTTCTCCTCGGAGAAAGATTTTGAACCGTTGGATTTTAATGTTTCAGACCCATTTCAGAAACCAGAAGCTAACTCCTTCCTCACACTGTTGTGTGAGGAAGAGAAGTTACGTATTCCTATCACTGTTGAAAATTTCCTAGATGCACCTATAATAATCCTGTTGACACAATCTATAGTCAAGAGTTATGTGTTGCTGGGCTAGATGTGGAAGTAAATGGAGGGAAAAACCCTTCTCAAGGTAACAAACGCTCACATGGTTTCTCTGATTCCTCCTCTGTACATGTTAAAAAGCAGTAAGACTCTGATTAGAGAATTCAATCCAGTTATACATTACCAGAGCTTGGAAAAATTGCTGTTTGAACTACAGGTTGTAAAAGCTGTGGTGAATATGACCTAACCATGTTGGCATTGTTGGCTAGTTAGCAATCTTAATGTAAATTTCAAGATATGGGAGGAAGGGCCTCCATCACAGACTAACTTCTTTGCATGTTTGCATGCTAATTAATGAGAGGGGTTTGTTTTTGCCGGGCTAGATTGATTGATTGATTGATTGATTGATTGATTGATTGATTGATTTATTTATTTATTTATTTATTTATTTATTTATTTATTTATTTATTTATTTATTTATTTATTTATTTATTATTTATTTAGTTATACATACCCCACCTATCTGGACTACTCGTCCACTCTAGATAAACTCCGCCCTTGTTTCTTCCCTTCTCCTCCTCATGCGTTTTGAGAGACTCCATTTTGTCTCAGACCCTTTTTTTCACCTTGGAAGATGCTAGATCTCCAGGCTGGATCACTGCACCCTAGAGGTCCTCCCAGCTACATGGGTGGAGGAAACAAACCTTATTTTTACTATTTTCCTTTCTATCAACTTTAAGCCTAATGAGTGTCTGTTTTAGAAATGAACTTCTAAGTGAGTAAAATACACAAAACCTCTTATACTTAAATATCACCTCCCAGGTCTTATTTTCTAAAATGCTAAGCTTTGATGAGGGTGGATACTAAGAGCAATTGGGTAAAGAAGGGGACTTCTACAGCTAATTCTAGTCTTAAGGAGCTGTCCTTCCACTGTGCATTTTACTGGAACTTAAGCAAGTTCCGAGAACTCTCAACAGGCAGGGGGATTCAGGGAAATAGTATTCAAAAAAGTAACTTTTCCTAGCTCTGAATATTACTCTTGGTTAAACGGGTGATGTCTTAACACATACTCATGAGAAAATTAGGCTGGTAAAATGAATTTGTGCCAGAGGGGAGGTGGCATGCAGTCCTGTATCACAGTGCCTTAAATAGGATTAAGTGATTGGCACTATTATATTTGTAAAGGTAAGGTAAAGGTAAAGAAGACAGGAGAGCCTGGCATGCTCTGGTCCATGGGGTCACGAACAGTCGGATACGATTTAACGACTAAATAATAATAACAACAAAAAAGGTAAAGTTTCCCCTTGACATTTAGTCCAGTCGTGTCCGATTCTAGAGGCGGTACTCATCCCCATTTCCAAGCCGTAGAGCCAGCATTTGCCCAAAGACAGTTTCTGTGGTCACATGCCCAGCGTGACTAGACACGCTACCTTCCCACCGTGGTGGTACCTATTTATCTACTTGCATTTTTACATGCTTTCGAACTGCTAGGTTGGCAGAAGCTGGAACAAGCAACAGGAGCTCACTCCGTTGCGTGGATTCAGTCTTACGACTGCTGGTCTTCTGACCTTGCAGCACAGATGCTTCTGCGGTTTAACCTGCAGCACCACCACATCTCTTTTTATATTTGTAGTAACCTTTAAATACTGGACAGCATTAAAAAAATTATATTTGCTTATAGGTACAACTGTAGATATTTTTCAGCGCACTTCAAATATTTAGTCTTTTGACATTGCGTTCATGGATCAAAATCAGTATCTTTCTGTATATGTGGCAAAATGTAAATATCTGTGCATAACATGTTGTCCAAATTTCCCTTACACTTGAGAAGGGAAAATATTTTAAGTCCTGAAGTAACACATTTTTCATGTTTGTAGCAATTTATGTATCATCAGTGTAATCCTTATTGTAAGCTTCCACTTGTTTGTTCAGCTAAAGCTTCCTTTTTAGCCTGGGACTTCAGCAATGCAATAAAGCAGAATACCTGAGAAGTTAATGATTTTCAGATTTTACATTAATTGTGGTACTCTTTTCCATTCAGGTGATGTCTCTGTCTCAGAATGTGGCTAGTCTTGAGGCTCAGATTGACAGAATTACCAGGGACAAGATCTCTTTAGCCAGTCAGTTGAAAGAAGCTCAGAATCAAAATGCTTCCAGTGAGACGGAGATGAATAAGGTGGAAGTATTTTTTGAACACGCAAAATTCATTTCCACTTATCATGAAAATGGTCTAATGTGATCATGAAAATGGTCTAATGTGATGGTTGTTATGATTTGGATTGTAACTGGGTGTGTGTGTGTGTATATCTCTATCTATCTATCTATCTATCTATCTATCTATCTATCTATCTATCTATCTATCTATCTATCTATCTATCTATCTATCTATCTATCAATATATAAAGGTTCGTGTTTAGTTGTAGATGGTGATCTTTTTGGCTGGTGTGGGTAACGATTTTCATGGCACCGTATTACTGAAGACTCTGCTCATAACTTGAGTTTGATCCAGATGAGCTTAAATAGCCAGCTCAAGGTTAACTCAGCCTTCTATCCTTCTGAAATTGGAACAATTGAGTACCAAGATTCAGCTAGCTTTTGATCTCAAACAGGCCTATATCAGGCTGGGCACCAAGAGGTGTGGATGGTGCATAAAAAGTTATAAAACTTTGGAAAATCAGGGGCATGTTGAAACTTTTAACTGAGGAACTTGGCATGCACATCTTGCCATGATTTTGGGAAGTATGTGTATTTAGATACTGTAAGGTTGTATGTTCTTTGAATTGTTTATTTTTGTCAGAAAGTATCCATTTGAGCGCTCTTTTTTTCATAAAGAGAGGATTTCAGAGATCATGTATTAGCCTAAATGTGGTATGGAAAATATGTAAAACATTCACACGATACACACAAAAACAGTTGTCCTACCATGGAACACAGTAGTGAAACAGCTGTAGCACAACAAAATTACTTCAGCAGTGGGAATATCCCCCACTCCCGGCACACATTAAAAGAAAGGGCAACACAGCTTTCTTTGCCCCCAGTGATCTTACCATGTAGCCAGATCTCTGGCCAGAATCCTGTTGCAAATGCCTTCTGTTTAAAGTAAACTGTTCAAATAGCTTTCATTAATTTTCTGCCTGTATTGCACACGGGCATGCAGCTTATATATCCAAACATGTAATGAATCACTAAAATGATAACACTCACAAGGTATGCACTTTTGAGTTTACATTGTGCAAACCCAATAGGATGGTAGCCCATGTGGGACATCACTATTATGTTATCCACTACACAAGCCCTAACTGCTGGAATTATTTTGAGATAGATAAAATACCTGTGCAATATGGACCAAAGCAGCTGCAAGGAGGAAGTGTTGCAAACAGTTGTGAATACTTAGGTCACATGATTAGAAGGCTCTTGGGCACTGTGCGTGGGACTTTACTTCAAAATATGAGCATAAAAGAATTGCCCAAAAAGTGAATTAGTAAAGAATAAATGTATAAGATAGCCACTAGAGGGCATTGACAGCCTTCGTAAGAAAATTGCTCCAGAAACTGCAAGATCTTATCTATTCTGTCTCACAGGTGTGTGGAGAAATTCAGTATCAGTTGAATCAGACCAAATTGAAGAAGGAGGAGGCAGAGAAGGAACACAGAGAATATAGAACAAAAACTATAAGGGAACTTGAAATTAAAAATCAGGTAAGTGAGATCAGCACACTCAAACTGTTAGAATAGCAACAACAAGCTGTTTTCAGTTCTAAATGGCAAGAACCCACTTTTAATTACGTATTTCTTATTTGTAAATAAGCTGTTTTATTTCAGGGAGTTGTTCTCAGTCGCAGAAAGATAAAGGTGTAAATGGATATAATAGTTAACATGTCCTGTTATGTGCCATACATGAACAGACATTGTGTATGACTGTTGCATGATATCCATTTACATCTTTGCTCCTGTGTTGTTTTTGCTGTTTCAGACATTAAAGGATATTATGCACATCTCACAGCGCTATACTTTTAGAGGCACAAAAATAAAATTTATTTTCTCTTTATTTATTTATTTATTATAAAATGTATTATTAAAAGTTCCTGTAAATGTACAAAAACCCAAGTTATTAATGGATAATACTGACAATTTTCAAGGCTTCCTATGTCATATAAACTATGGAGTTGTTTGTTTGTTTGTTGAGTAAGTTGCCAGAAGTCATTCCTTATTAATTAGCATTTGATATTAGGGATAAAAAGCTAAATTAAGGAATATTTAAGTTGGAATATGTTCATAATGAATCCAGTGGATTTCAAATTACATTTTGCTGACCACATGTGCACTGTCCAGATTTCAAACTGCAGAACTATACATTAAAGCATACTTTCATTTGAAGTGAATAAACTGATCATGAAATATGAGTGCTATGAATTAAAACAAGTATGTTTTCAAAATAGATATGGAAATTATTACTATTTAAAACAACAACAACAACAAAAGACTGCAACATTTCTTAACAGAGTTGGCAGAAAGGAGTGTACTCTAAAGTCAGTCCCCTTGCTTGGTTAGGTTGTAGCCATGTTGAGTGTGCCTTAGTGGAAAGCAATTCCATTCACACAAGTCAGGACTCTCAGTTTTTATAGATCTTTCCCCATACCTCCTGCATCCCTGGGTACCACATTCCATTCTGCTCTGGAAGCTGATCTAACTCTCACCAGCAGCTTTCCAAGGACAATTCAGCAGGCTAGAAAAATCTGTGAAAATCAGCTGATCCAACATTCATGAACGGAAGCACTGTCCACTAAGAAAATGTTACTAGGCATAGAATGTTTGGAATTAGTGGACTACAGCCCCCAGAAGTCTGCAGAAATTCCCTTAACCAGACTTCTGTGGGATTTAGTCAAGTAAAGAAAGTCCTGACCATTGTTTTCAAGTTCTCAAGCTAAGGAATCCAGACTCAAGTGGCCAGTTTCTTCCTGTGGAGCAGGCATGGGAAATGAGTGGGCAGGGCTAGGATCTGTGGTAGTTGCAAGGGATTTTGGGTGTGGTAGTCTTTGCCCATTAGGCTCTGCACAGGAAGCCACTCAAAAAAAAAATCTACCAGATCCATCTGAAATCATTAGATTATGAACTTGGAAACACTTGTTGGGACTTTAATTTCTTGATTACTGTCTCCAGAAGTCTAGCTGAGGAAATTCCTGTAGATTTTTGGGGGTGTAGTCAATGAATTCTGAAAATCTCATGCCTAAAAGTTACTATCCATCTGTCTGTGTATCTAATTTATAGATATATATTTGTTTATTCACACTATTCTGGGTGGTGTACAGACAAGCAAGACCCAACAACCAGTACCCATTTGATTGAAATGGCACTATAATTAAGTGTGGTAATCTACAGGAAACCTAAAGTTCAAATGCTAAAATTAGCATCATTTGAAGGTATGATGTTCTTAAAGGCTGTCTTTAATTCTATCTTGAGTAATTTCTTCAATATTGTGAAGTATGGGGCCTGGTGCACCTCAGTTAGCAGTTTTTTCACATAATTAGATGCAATTAAAGCCATAAGGTCACCTCATTATTACTGCTGCCTTGGTGGTTTTTGTTTTGTTTTGTTTTGTTTTTTTGCAATTTCCATAAGGGCCCAGAGATGTATAAAGGTGCACTTTAATCTTTTCCTGCCCGGTACAGTCGAAAACATGGATATAGTAGGAGAGCTAGTCTAATGTACTGGTTTGGTTTCTTGCCTGGGATTTAAGAGATTCAGCTTCTAGACTCCTATAACTCCCTTACTGATGTTTGGCCACTTATTTTCTCACAAGTTCACCTATTTCACAAGGTAGTTTTGAAGATTAAGGTAGGATGGAAGAGAGTCACGAACATCGCTTTGAGGAAGAGCAGAGCGTATGTGTAACAAAAATGAAAGTGACCAAAATAAATGGGTTTGGGCAAGATAATTTTGAATGGCGAAGAAATATGCTGATGAACTTTGGGGAAAATAGTAAAATGATTATTTGGAATGACTCTTGACAGTCTTCCCCCTACTGCCTTCCTTCTCTATGGAAGGCATGCAAGGTATGGAAAGAAAAGTCTTAAATGCTGAAGGATTGCCACAACAACATTTTTCCTATGTGGGTTGTTCATGGACAGGTTGATTCACAGAGAGGCTAACTGGGAAAGGAAGGACTATGTATCCTTGGTGAGATTCTTAGTTTTAGGGTTGTATACCAATCAAATGACTTGATACTCTTCTACCTAGGGGGTTATCTATTGTCATCAACTCCCAGAGAGAACGGCAACAAGCTACTTGATTTTTATAATTAATGGGCCTGCCTGTTGCTTTATTTTAGCTGGAACATTTATTTTGGAGTAGAGAGCACACCTGGACCTTTTATCATTCAATTTTATTTGCATTTCAGTATCAAATGCAATTCTTTTGTTTCTTGAAGATGGGGTGTGACCAACTTGAGCTTGGCTGGATGTCCTTTTCAAAGTCTGCAGTGGGTTTTTTTCCTTTGTTTGTTTGTTTTGTATTATGTGCAATAAACAGTATGCAACACACTATGCTGAGTGAGAACTGGATTCCTTTGGTCTGCTTCTAGGGCAAACAAGAAAAGGTGGGGAAAGTTTATCTATGTTCTTGGAGAATATAGATAGACCAATCCTGAAAAAAAGACTTGGCTGCATATAAGTATTGGTGTGAACTGACACTGGGGGTAACAGTTTTTGTAGAAATGCACTGTGTTTCAGTGGCAAAGCACAAGAGTTCCATATAGAAGATAATAGGTTCAGTTCCTGGCATTTCCAGGCAGGACTGGGAGAGATCACCATTTGAAACTATGGAGAATGACTGTGAGTTATTTTACCCAGGCTAATGTCCTCCAGATCTTTTGGGCTACAGCTCTTATCTGCAGCAGTGTAGTTGCAACCCTATACTAGGTTGCTTAGCCAAGGTAAGCAAAGACCAAGTATGCAGGTGCTTAAAAAAGCACCTTCTACAGATATTCAGCCTGTCGTGTCACTTAATTTCCTATGTTGCAGACCTGTGACTTACTAGCAAGTTAGGGGGGACTAGTGAACAAATGTTTCAAAATGACTCAAAACAACACATAAGTGAGAGCTCATGATCATGCCAACTTGTAGTAAAGGAAGCCAGTTCTTAATTTTATACTGTCCTCAGGTAGCCTTCCAGCAAAACTGTTTTGAGTAGTGAGAGGTCTTCTATATCTAGATCCTGGGAAGGATGTGTTAGAACTTGACATGTTCTGTAACAATTTTTAAAGCACTTTGAGGGTAAAGTTGCTCATATTCACACTGGCCTCGATGCTATCATTGACAAGGCATCCAGAACAATTTCTAGTCTAGCTATATGGGACAGATTTTTACTAACTAAAATGTATGACCAAATAGGTGATCTACATGTCATTTTATCCACTGGACGAAACTGGAAGATCACTTGGCTGTTTTTTATAGTGGAATATTTATCTTTAATCATTAAGTCATTCAGATATCTGTAATCCACATAATACTAAAACTCTCATGTGTTTTTCCTTGCAACAGAAGCAGCCCAGAAATTCATAAGTACTTGAAAACATTAATATTGTAGCTCCTGCAGTTACTGTTCAAATTTCTATGGAAGATAAATATTAACATATCCTAGGCAGTGTCTAGGCACTAGCTTGGTGGCCCTAAGGATTAAACAATGTTTCATCCACTTTGTACAACATTTGCAGTTGCCTACCTAGCTCTTCTGTTCACAGAATTCTTGTAATTTACCCTGGATTGTTTTTGACATGCTTTCCCTTAATTTTTTTTCTGCTTTGGGATATCGAAAGTTTTGTGGGGTTTGATCTTGTGCGCATTCACTTTAGTAAACATGACAACAATGTTGACATCAGCTTCTGACTGCTACTTATCATTGGAAGCTCTCTTCAAAACCAAGCCTTCTCCCAGCACATAATATAGTACTTCATTTCCAGGTTGACTGTGGACATGTGGAAATTCTGAGATTAGATGTCCCAGATTTTGGTTATAAATTCAAAAACAGTGGTAGAGCATTTAAACGTAAATCTGTTTATTAGACCCCTGTTTGCCCCAAGGGAAATAAGAAGCATGGAGAGAGAATCAAGGAAGGGAACTAACTAAAATGTATGACCAAATAGGTGATTCTGTTTGACCTCGGTCACAACAGCCTCAGCACAGCATCCCAATTTCTTGGTTATCCACCAAGGTTTGGACTTGCATAGCAACACAGACCTACTATATGTATTTCGTTTCTGTATACTGTATGTATTGAATGAGGGGGAGAATGTGGCTCATCTTCCCCTCACTTTATCCTCACAATAAATAACTTTGTGAGTCAGACTGACTCTGTGTGGTTGGCCCAAGTCATTCACTGACTTTCATGATTGAGGGAGAATTTGAACCTAAAACTGCATAGTTGTAGTACAACACTGAAAACTACACTACAGTTATTCCAGTGGCCCTCACATGTGGGGTCACAGCTTCTGTAAGTCACAACATTACTAGGAAAATAATGAAGTGCTCAAGTGGACTGTGTAACATGTAGAACCTCTGTGTTGCTTTCATTAAGCTTCAGTTTGTACATTCAAGACAGTTTCTGGTCTAGAACCAAAAAAAGATTTAGGTGAAAACAAAATATATACCGTATTTTTCGCTCCATAAGACGCACCGGACGTTAAGACACACTTAATTTTTAAA